TACGCCGTGGGGTCCGCGTCTGGGAAGAAGCTGGCATAGATGCCCTCGAACTGCTGCTTGCTGATCCTCCCGCTGGGACACTCCTTGAGGAAGGACTGATACCAGGTGCACAGTTCGGCCTCTGTGTATTTGGTGTTGGACTTCAGCTCTTCCAGGAGCTCCTTCGACAAAGCGCTGCTCTTAGTATTCCCCATCCTGATCGAGAAAGGTTCAATTCTTGTATCTCCTGCGATTGGCCGTTAAACTTCTGTGGAGTTTGTGCGCTCTGTCTTGTGTTCGCTCTGTCGAGCCCCTCAAGGTGCCAAATGGGATTATGATCATCACTGCCTAAATCCAGACAGCTGTCTTGAAGATTAAGGGGGATAACTGCGTCACACTGCTATGACACCTTTATATTGAAGACAGAGTTAAACACAGGAGGCAAGCGCAGCGGATTAAAGGCAGCAGGTGGCCGTTACTTAGAAGCTCAACATCTGGGAGGATATTTGCCCTTTTAAGCAGAATTTGTGTAAATACACTCTAATATTTAGTTACAGGGTTGAAGTATAATAATACTGACTTTGGGGCCAAAGAAAGACGAGCTTAGACTGGTGCCATCTTTTATCATTGCCACTAGGGAGGAATTTGCTTACACTAAACCAAACAAAACCAAACAAATGTATTAGACCACCACCCAATGTAAGGTTTATTCTACAGCTGTCCTAAATTAACAGTTTTGGTAATTTCCAAAATCATCTTTATGTTAATACATCCATCCATTCTCTTCTGCTTATCCAACTGAGGGTCAAGGGGAGGCTGGAGCCTATCCCAGCTGTCTGCACCCTGGACAGGTCGCCAGTCTGTCGCAGGGCTAACAAAGAGACGGACAACCATTCACACTTATGGGCAACTTAGAATCCTCTGTTAACCTAACCACACTAACTGCATGTTTCTGGACCATGGGAGGAAACCGGAGTACCTGGAGAGAAGCCATGCAAACATGGGTAGAACATGCAAACGCCACACAGAGAACCCTGGACTACAGGATCTTCTTGCTGGTAACCGTGCTAATCACTGTTTCTGCAATGTTAGCCCAAAAAGTTGATTCTGTTCATCTGGAACGTTTTCAGTAGGAGAAATGTTTAGTTATTCATCCAAGTGATTTGTTCAGTCTCAGCTGACTGCCAACCTTATAAACAGTACCGTTGCACAATGACTGAAATTAACCCAGTGAGTGAATAACGGGCTGTTAGGTCAGTTCATTGATGATCTCAGGACCACAATTCATGGATCGCATTAACTCGGGGGACCAAAACGTCTAATTCAACGGGGAGGATATGAAAAGTGGCAGACATCGAGGAAACCAAAAACCAGGACTC